GCCGCCGCCGCTGCCGCCGCTGCCGCCGCCGCCGCCGCCGCCGCCTCTCCTGCCACCGGGGTTTCTATGAAAACACCGGGCGGCGGGCGGCGAGGGATCTGCCGTGCGCCCAGAGAGGAGTCGGTGCCGCCGCCGAGCTGGTGTTGCGGCTCTGCCCAGTACCTGCCAGCGCCCCATCTTGAGCTGGTGAGAGCCCCCGCTGCAGTCAGCGCGTCGGGGGGGGCGTCCCTCGGCCGCGGCTTTCCCGCCCTCCCGGCCGCCCTTCGGCTCTCTCCGGGCCGCGGGAGCGGCGGGCGGCGTCCTGGGGGCCGGAGAAGCCGGGGGCTGGGCCACCTGGTGCTCGCCGCAGTCTGCTCCCGGGGACCTCTCAACGCCTCACCTGACAGATTCTGTAACGCGTGTCTTTTATGGGGTGGGTGGACCCGATTTGCGAGAGACTCCTGAAGGACTGGGGCTTTGGCTTGTTTCTGGAGAACGCCTCCCTACGCCCCCACCCAGGGACACTCGCCTCCCCTTCCCCCGATCCACGCGGAGGGTCCCCAGAGCCGTCCCTGAGCAGAGACGGCCCGCCTGTGCCCTGCGTCTTCTCTAAGGCCCTGGCGATGCAGCGTGAAGCCGAGGGGAGGCGGAGCCGGGGGCGAGCGCGCGGCCTGCCTCTCCACCCCTAGCACCCACCCTCTTTGTAAGCCGGCCGCACGAATCCGGGGCCCCTGGGCTTTGGAAATCCTGTGGTAACGGGCAGAGAGCAAGGTGGGAGTTGATAACGAAATCGCCGGTGGTTGTGTTTGCTTCCTTTCGCTGGATCGTTTGTACCAAAGTGTCCTCTCTGTTTACAACTTGTCGCCTTGTGGGTTTGATTTGAACCTGAATCACATCACCCTAGATGACAGTGCAGAGTATCGCTACTGCTTCCTTCCTGAGTTGCGGCTTCTTAATTGCAAATATTAAAGGATTCCTGTAAAGCAAACGCAAAAGGTTGCTTGGCTTTACTGTTGTTACTTTCCTAGTGCCAGTATAGTTTTAAATTGGTAAGTTTCCTTTCCTGGATATTTTCCGGTTATTGGATGGAGTTTTAATACATCATAGTGTAATCGATGTGAATATTGATAAGTTAAAGCCCAGTTGCCTCCTTAACCCAGCTTGCTCAAGTGCCTGAAGGTCACTTAGTGGAAAATGTCTTTGGCAGTATTCATTCTGTGTATTTTTTTGGCCCCCCCTGCCCTTCAGGTATTCAAAATTTTAGCAGAATTTACTTATAATACATGACAATTTGTATTTAGAAAGGACTTTAACACAGTTTTCTTGATCAGTCTTTTCACGTCCATGTTTTAATCTTTATGTAGTTTATCACTGTCTTTGTTAACCTTTGAATTCTTACAAATTGCCGTTTTTCTTTTTCCTGAAAAGAAAAGGTTCTTTTTGTAATTGTATTGTGGAATGTTTTCAGTTCAGTAGGCCAAAAAAGAGGTAATTTATTTAAGGCACTTTAAATAGTACTTATTCTAAAACATGTGCCAGCTGTTTCGCAAAACCAAACCAGACCCTTAAAAGAGTTATAAGCATTTATGTAGAATTACTGTGAGCTAGTTAAGGATGCCTTATCCACTCCTTAACTCAGGAGATTTTGTTTAATTTCTCATCCCACTTCTCTTGAGTTTCTGCAGTGAAATTATAGGTTGATTTTTTACTAACCTCAGAACTCTCCGTTGAATTGATCCATCACGTATTAGAACTGCAGTCTCATTCTGAACTCTGAAATGAAAGAGTAGGCTGAAAACTGCCCGTTTAATTAGCAAACATCACAAAACATTTAAATATATTGATGTAAATTAAACTTATGTAGAAGCAATTTTATAAAACTTTTTCAGTTGAGTTGACCTGAGGCATTAGTCTCTTTAGAAAAGCCTCATTAGATTGCTTTATAATAACGGTGTTACCTTCACTAGCAGAGGGAAGGTCCCTGTGTGGCGCAAATGGTTTGTACTCAAGTACTAACCTAAAGGTTGACAGTTCAGACCCACCCAGCAACACAGCCGATGAAAGGGCTGGTGATCTGCTTTCATAAAGATTATAGCTAAGAAAAAGGAGCCCTGGTGGTGCAGTGGTTAAAACACTTGGCTGCTAACTGCAAAGCAGGCAGTCCACACCCTATGGAGCAGTTCTACTCCCTAACACATGGGGTCACCATGAATTGGAATCTACTTGATAGCAACAGGTTTAGCAGAGGGAAAAGAGGTCTCAGAATTTGTGAGTTTATGTAATTGTTTATTTATTATAGTCTACATTTTAGTTTTTTTTTAACTTCTTCCACAGTATTCACCTTTCAAAATCTACTCTTCTTGCTTGAAGTCCCCAGTACTTAGAAGTTGAACAGTGAATAAATGAAACAAAAACCAAAACCATTGCCATCGAGTTGATTCCGACTTATAGGGACCCTATAGGACAGAGTAGAACTGTCCCATAGGGTTTCCAAAGGAGCGGCTGGTGAATTTGAACTGCCGACATTTGGTTAGCAGCTGAACACTTAACCACTGTGCCACCAATGGATAAACCAGTCAGAAGACCTGGTTGGGAACTTCCCTTAGGCCATGGGGTCACAGTGTAAACAGCAGAGATTGTCTAGGGTAGGCACTGAATTGTAAACTTCCTACCTTATTGTTGGTTACTGTGCATGTATACTATAGTGTAGGGGTTAAGGGTTGGGCCTCAGCCGGATTTTGCTGGGTTTTTAACCTGGTTTTGCTTTAGGCAAGTTATTTATCCTCTTTGTGCTTCAGTCTTCTCAACTCTAAAAAGGTGGATAATAGTGGTGCATACCCCCAAGATTATCTTAAATATAAAATTAGTTAATGCATGTAAAGTGCTTAGCCCACAGTGCCTGGCACATAGTAAGTGCTCAGTAAACATTATTACTACCACTATTTTTCCTCAGCCTTCTAATGGATCTAGCAACCTGAAAAAGGACTTTTTTTGCAGATTAATTCCACTATGACCCAAACTCCCTTGGGACTGAATGAGAACTTAGTCTCACTGTCCTGCTTTGGAAACATGTAAGTCAGTTTTAAATAGAACAGCTAGACCCTGAGCTGGGTGCCCTGTGGATGCTGCTAAAGTGTCCCTGTCTGTTCTTTGACAGAACCTTGGATTGTTTCCCTTAAACGATGGTGGTGGCTGCTATTTTAATCACCTGTTTTTGAGTTTGTGATTTTGCGTTTCTTTGACTGTCATGTGCTGCCATCAAAAATATTACCTATTAAAATATTAACGGCCATGTGTGTGTTTGTCTGATTGGGATATTGCATGGTGTTTCCCGGATATACAAAATCACTCCTATGTAAGCATTGTTTTTCTTCTTTATTGATATTATCAAGAGTGAGATTAGTTTTGATTTGATGTCGTGTGCCTCTTTAGCTTTGGTGGAATTTTCATAGGAAAGTTTTTTTTTTTGGTTGTTGTTTAAATTTAAAATTTTTTTTTATTGTACTTTAGATGAAGGTTTACAGAACAAATAGTCTCTCAAACAGTTAGTACACATTCTTTTATGACATTGGTTAACAACCCTATGACATGTCAACACTCTCCCTTCTCGACCTTAGATTCCCCATTACTAGCTTTCCTGTCCTCTCCTGCCTTCTAGTCCTTGTCCCTGGGCTGGTGTGCCCCATTAGTCTTGTTTTGTTTTATGGGCTTGTCTCATCTTTGGCTGAAGGGTGAACCTCTGGAGTAACTTCGTTACTGAGCTAAAAGTGTGTCCGGGGGCCATACTCGTGGGGTTTCTCCAGTCTCTGTCAGGCCAGTAAGTCCGGTCTTTTTTTTTTTT